GCCCGGTGTCTCCGGTCTTGCATCAACGACATCTGATGGAGGCGGAGATTGCTCATTTATTATCCATCAAAGCCATAGAACCGGTACCCGACTCCCAGAAGATGAAAGGGTTCTATTCCATCTTGTTCCTCGTCCCCAAGTCTTCGGGAGGATACAGAGGTGTTTTAAATCTAAAGCACTTGAACAAGTACATCCTGTATCGGAGGTTCAAGATGCAGTCCCTGTCGTCGATTCTGGCATGTGTCCGGCCGAACGATCTGCTACAGTCGGTGGATTTACGGGAAGCCTATTTACACGTTCCGATCCATCAGGTGCATCGCCGGTTCCTGTGATTCGAATACGACTCTCTCCATTATCAATACTGTGCGATGCCCTTTGGTCTCTCTTCCGCCCCCAGAACCTTTACGAAACTGGTCTCCGTGGTAGCCGCGTCCCTGAGATCTATACCAATTCGTCTTCTATGTTACCTAGACGACATCCTTGTCCTGTCATCTTCTCCGCATCAAGCGTCGAGAGACATAGAGACAGTACTCAGGGTCTTTCAACATCACGGCTTCACAATAAACCGCGAGAAAAGCCATCTAGTTCCAACGACGCGGATCCTCCATCTGGGAGCGGTGATAGATACGACCAAAGGCCAGGTATTTCTGTCGCCGGATCGCATCAAAGACATAAAGTCATCGGTCTCTCAGATTGCATCCAGCCGGAAGGTTTCACTGCTTCGTCTATCCCAGGTATTAGGGAAAATGGTGTCCTGCATCAAAATCGTTCCCTGGGCACGCAGGCACGCGAGACCGTTGCAGTGGTTCCTGTTACCGTTTCAGAAAGCCAATCGCAGCAATTCTCGGTCGTCGGTTCGGATTCCGCCTCAACTTCGATCTTCACTGAGGTGGTGGACCTCCCCCGCACTTCTCAACGGATGTGTCTTCCTCGAGATCGACCGACTAGTCATAACATCAGATGCCAGTTTGGTGGGCTGGGGAGCTCACCTTCTGGAACACGTAGTCCAAGGTCGTTGGTCTCCGGCGGAGAAGGCGAACAGCATCAATTGGCTGGAGTTGAGAGCTGTTCGCCTTGCTCTAAGACATTTCCGTCCCATCGTAGAGGGCCGTCACGTGTTGATCCGGACGGACAACATGACCACCAAGGCCCACATAAACCGAGAGGGAGGCACTCGATCTCGGAACCTCATGATAGAGTCGGAATTGCTCTTATCCTGGGCAGAAAGGCACACGGCATCTCTAAGAGCAGATCATATCTCCGGAATTTCCAACATACAAGCGGACTGGCTCAGCCGGGAACGCATCGATCCGGCAGAGTGGCAACTCCATCCGGACATATTTCAGGACATAGTTCGCCGTTTTGGAAAGCCGCTCGTAGATTTGTTCGCCGCACCCACCAACGCACAGTTACCAAGGTATTTCACACGCTACCAATGCCAGGAGGCGGAGGGTTGCAACGCGTTGAGGTGCCAGTGGCCAGTCGGGCTTCTGTACGCGTTTCCTCCGCTTCCCTTGATCTCTCAGGTGATCCGAAAAGTGTTGTCAGAACAGGCGGAAATCTTACTGGTGGCGCCTTGTTGGCCGCGCAGACCGTGGTATGCGGATCTAGTGAACCTTTCAGTATCACCTCCATGGACAATACCTCAGCAGGTCGTCTCTCTCCGCCAGGGGGTCATCGCCCATCCAGAGCCTCAGTGGCTCCGATTGACCGTCTGGCACTTGAGAGGCGACTGCTGAAGAAGGACCGACTTTCTGACTCGGCCATTGACATTATCCAAGCCGCCAGGAGGCCTTCGACGTCTCGCATATACCAAGCTTCTTGGAAGGCCTTCTCGATTTGGTCCTCGAAACATCATGTGGACCCGACTTCCGCCGACATTCCAGACGTGTTAGACTTCCTCGTGGATGGTTTACATAAAGGGCTGAAGCCTGCCACATTGAGACGCCAAGTGGCAGCACTTGCAACTGTGCTAGTGTGTGAACCTCATCGCTCTTTGACACAGAACCCTCGTATCAGGAGTTTTTTGCATGGTGCTTCTAATATTTCACCACCAGTGGTCCATCGTTTCCCGACTTGGGACTTACCCCTAGTCCTCCAAGCACTCACATCGCCTCCCTTTGAGCCGCTGGCCTCTATCCCGCTGAAGTTCTTAACCTTCAAACTGACATTTCTAATCGCGATAACTTCTGCGAGGAGGATTTCCGAACTGACCGCCTTGTCAGTTAGAAGCGATCTTTGCCAGTTTTTCCCGGATAGAGTGGTGTTGAGGTTGGACCCGTCCTTCTCACCAAAGGTGAACTCCTGGTTTCACCGGGCCCAGGAGCTCATTCTGCCGAATTTTTGCCCGGATCCCCGGAACCCTAGGGAAAAGAACTGGCATACTCTAGACGTGCGACGGGCCCTCCGCAGATATGTCAGAAGAACTGCGTCCTTTCGTCGTACTGAGGCCTTGCTCGTTTCATTCCACCCATCCACTATGGGGAAGAAAGTGTCACCAACTACTGTGGGGCGCTGGATCAAGGCCTGCATCTCGACTGCATATACTAGCACGGGCAAGACCGTTCCCGGGGGTATTTATGCACATTCTACCCGCAGTGCGGCGGCTTCAGCAGCCTGGGCAACTCAGGCCTCAGTTCTTGATATATGTCGAGCAGCCTCCTGGACGTCTGTTTCGACATTTGTAAGACACTACAAAATTGATTCGTTTGCGGCTGCAGAAGCATCCTTTGGCCGTCGGGTTTTACAACAAGTGGTCGAATCCCGGGGCTCAGGGAACAGTCAGCCTCCCGCCCAGGATCTGTAGCTTGGGTATATCCCAATCCATGGATTGGAGGAGCAGCGTACTTGAAAACGGACGTTGACTTACCTCTGAACGTCCCTTTTGAGTACGCTGCGACTCCAATCCATACCCGCCCGTGTTTGGGCTTCCTGTTCTGCATTTACTTCTCTGTTTCTTGGGGTGTGTTGAGATTCTAGTTGACGTTGGAGCTCCTGTATCTTCGTGAGGAAAGACTGACGGGAGTGACACAGAGAGGGCGTGGCCAGCCAAGAAAGTTTGCACTCAGTTCCCCAGCAACGGGAGAAGAGTTCCCAATCCATGGATTGGAGTCGCAGCGTACTCAAAAGGGACGTTCAGAGGTAAGTCAACGTCCGTTTTCCTATTTATACATCTATATCTATCAGGTATGGATTTATATGAGCTATCAGTCCTTATGACTGTTTGTGTCTGTTATGTGCTGTGGATCAGAAGACAAAAGAGAGGTGCAGTGTTGGAATTGCAATAACACTGGATGTTGTTATTTTGATTTTAAAACAATAATTTAGAGTTGGAACATAATAAACAGGAGTCAGGTGATACTGAAATGCACTTTCCTAAAACCTTATGCCAATTGCATAACAGCATTTTTTAAATAGAATGCCAAAGTACATCACTGCTGGTCACCCATCTACTGGCCAGAGTCAATTTTTCAGTTATCATTATCATTCTTAAATTAGCCTGGATATACAATCAAATTCATTCCATTCCAGTTTTGAATAAATTGATTGTTGTCAAGTTAGTTTTGATGATTGTTCTGGGACCTTGTTTTGTTTGCTTTCATTTTTGTTTTCGCTCTTTAATGAAATATTTCTTATAAATGTTAAAGGTGTGCCAGAGTGAAGCTTGATTCCTGACTACACTTTGGAAGATAATAATAATAATACCCTGCCTAGGGCTGCCTAGATATATGGAAATTTTGTACTTATTAGACCTCAATAGCCTGACTTTGCAAAAAGCCACCCTACTCGGAATTGCCTATATAGGTAGTCCTCAAGTTACGAATGTAATGGAGCCTGTTTATTCTATTCATAACCCGAGGATTTGTGGGAGTGAATCTCTTACCGTGAATGAGATCATTCCCTCCTTCTGCCCATGCATTCACTAATCAAATACAAGGCTCGTTAAGTGCAGATGAGGTATTTCAGGGTGGGGAAAGCCATGGGTGGGGCTACTGATGGAACAGGCCACCTGCCTAAGACCACCCAAGGCCTCCCCGACCCACTGAAATACCTCATGCTCCCTAAATTACTTTCCCCCCAGTCTGCCATGCCGGGTCACTTACCTTGTTAAGATCTATCAAGCAGTCTTCTTTCCAGCCTCATGCGCTCCTCTGCAGTTCTGTTCGGGCCTCCACAAGTCCTCCCCCAGCCTGTTGCAGGCCGAAATGGAGCTTCCAGGGTTAGGACTGGTTAGGACTTGAGCTGTTAAGTTTTTACCAGTCCTAGAGTGTATCGAATTGAAGATTAACAATAACAACAACAACAATAATAATATATTAAACTTGTATGCCAATGACTCTGGACAATTTTCAATAATCAAAGAAATTACAACAAATCAGTAAAGCTTAAAATAAAAAAATAAAAGATAGCAAATATGATGAAGTGAGGGATATGCCCATTTTAAAGCAGCAACAGGAAAATGCTTTTTCATCACCATATTTGAGATTATTTATTTATTTATTTTGCTCCCCATTTCAATCTATAAGCCTGGAATTTTCTGATGATCTTTGTTCAAGTGCTAAACAAGTCTGACTCACCTTAGCTTTTGGCCACCTAGTTTTCAACACCATGAAGCAAATAGAGTTGCAGCAGAAATAATTCATATTGTAAGGTTCTTGTCAGTTATGTTGCTGTATCCATTGCATATACCTCGAATTTATTATAGTAATCAGGTTATAAAAGTGAAATCCAGCAATATGATTGAGTTTCCTATATAGGCAAAATCTTCCTATTTTTCTACACACTTAAGATTTGTTACATTGTTTTGTGGAATATTTCCAGCAAAATCACTGAATAATTGTTAAGCGCTCATTTATTTTTCACATAAACTACTGCTTAACTTATTTGAATACATTTATATTTCATTGTGTATTCTTTTGTTTGAATTTCTTTTATTTTTATGACATTTTGACATCCCTTGCATAGACCGTGCATATTAATACAATTGTATTTACTTGTAGGTGGCTCTAACCAAGAGAGCTGATCCAGCTGAGCTGAAAACAATATTTTTGAAGGTATGTTAAAAGTAAATATTTTTATCCTTTAAAGCTTGAATTTTTCATTTCTTTTTCTCTTACTTTATTATTAAACTTTTGGAGTGTTCTAACCATTAATCATCCATTGTATTATTAGCATGCTATACTTAAATAGTGTTATAAAAAAGGAACATCTATCCAAGAATTCAAATACATTACTGGGTGATTATTGTATAAATATAGAGAAATGTAAGCATTTTGAAATTAAAATGTCCCTTCCACCCTACTCCACTCACCCACTTCTGCAAATGGAATTGATAATTTAATGTTCATTATCAAGAACAGTGAGGATTCCTTTAGAAGATCAATAGAATTACATTTGTAGCTATTTTACCCATCTTTCCTAAACTCTGGATTATGTGTGGCAGTGGTTAAAGCTAAAAGCTAATGCATTAAATCCTATTTGTTCAGGGGGGAAAAAGGTAAATCTGATTCACAAATATGGTATTTGATATTAGTACAATACATTAGTATTGTACTAATACCAGTACATACATTAGCACATAAATGCTAATCTTTATTCAATGGTCAGGGTGCAAAAATGTGTACTGCTGTAAATTGTACTTTGCTTTACATTGCTATCCTATAGCCTAGGCCAGGGATCTGCAACCTTAAACTCTCAAAGAGCCATTTGGACCTTACTCGGGTTTTGTGGCTCTGGGTGTTTTCTGTGGGAAATGGGTTTCTCTCTCTCTCCCTCCCTCCCTTCCTTCCTCTCCCTTTTTTCTCTTTCCTCTCCCTCTCCCTCCCTCTCTCCCTCCCTCCCTCCTTCTTTCTCTCTCTCTCTCTCTCTCTTCCTTCTCTCTCTCTCTCTCTCTCTCTCTCTCTCTCCCCCCCCTTCTCTCTCATTTCCCTCGTTTTCCTCTCATTCTCTCCCTCCGGCTCTCTCATTTCTGTCTCCCTCTCCCCCTTCTCTTTCTCCCATTTGTTTCTCTCTTTTTCCTCTCTCATTCTCTCCCTCCATCATTTTCTCATTTCTCTCTCTCTTTCCCCTTTATAATCTCTCATCTCTCTATCTCTTTCCCTCCCTCTCTGTATTTCCCCCTCTCTTTTCCTCCCTCTTCTCCCCCCTCTCTCTCGGGTGTGTGTGTGTTCCCTCTTGAACCATTTCCAAAAAAAGGTGAAGATTGGGTTGTTGTTGTTTTTGCTGACATTCTTTCTTCTTCTTTGAGTGCTTTTTACCATATGATTTAAATCAAGAGTCATTTCAGGTACCCAGATGAAGCTCTTTTGTCCCCCTGCTATGGCTCCCTGCTGGCTGGCTGGCCCCCCCACCCCTTGCCATCCCCTCCCAGTCACTCCTTGCATGGCCTGAGAAGGTAAGGGCGATGGCAGGGATGGAAACTCGCTCCATATTCCAAAGCAGGAGGGAAGCGCCCCTGTGCTTGCCTCTCATCTCGTGGGTATTTCTTCCGGCTCTTTTTGGTGCTGAGTATACCTTGGTCGCTAGGGGAGCAGGTAGCACTTTTCGCAGCAAACTTAAATTTAGTGCGCTTCACAAGAGGGGAGATGGCGTCCCGTCCTCCTCTTGGAGACCATTACGACGTGGAGCATTGGCCGCAGCTGGCCCGGGCTAGTATCTTGGGGCAGAGAGGAAGTTATGTGTCTCTCCGAGTGACTGAGGTGCATGCAGCACCAAGAAGCGCCGGAAGAAGCACTCCGAGATGAGAGGCAAGTACAGGAACGCTTCCCTCTTGCTCTGGAATATGGAGCGAGTCTCCATCCCCGCTGTCGCCCTTATCTTCTCAGGCCACGTGAGGAGGGACTGGGAGGGAAGGGCAAGGGGCGGGGCCAGCCAGCTGGCAGAGAGCCACAGAAGGGGGACAAAAGAGTTTCAAGTGGCCTGGGAACCGCACGTTGCCGACACCTGGCCTAGGCAATTGAAATGATTTCTAAAAGCAATTGACAAAATTGTGTAAGAATGTTCATCTTTAGCATGGCCCAAAGTGAAAAGTTTCTGTCCACTTTGCCCTTTTTATCATGAACATACTGTATATTTTATGAGCAGTTAAATCTTCAAAACCTGCCATGTTTATTTCCTATGGTTTTCTCAGTTTTCTTGAAAATAATTCTTCTAACATAAAATAATTAAAATCTAAATAATTTGTCATGGTGTTGTCTTTCTTATTGCAGTTTCATTTTTTTTGGTAAAGAAATAAATGCAGTGATAAAAAATATGAATAGATAAATCTTGGTAAAGATTAATGCTAATCATTTGCTAATTTAAACACTGATTTCCAGCCTTAATTGGAAGTGTTTTGTGAGCTTATTAGAAGAATGACCAACTGATTGATTTGCGTATATGTGCCTGTGTATATGAGAGAGCGTACATCATGTTGAAAAAGGCATACCTGACCACAGGTATTAGACCACATGGTTTAATATCTTATTTCAAAATTACTATAATAACATTTATGTGATACATCCCTTGAAAAATGTTCAGAAAAATGTCTACCTGAGACAAGTCCCAATCATCAGACAACTTTATGGATTTCCTATTTGATTTAGAGCCAATTTAAAGGGTTGGCTCTGCCTGTAAAATGCCTGGGAAAAATATATCTGAATAACTAGCTTCTTAATTTTGTTATTAAGTGCAATTTATGTTGACTATTAAGTGCAAATTATATTAATAAATTATATTTAATTTCTGGCATTGATGCTGTTCTTTTAATTATAGGGCTATCTGGTTACACATTTTAAAGGTTTTGTGTAATTATTCCTTGTTTTTAATGATTTAAAAATCATTGAATTTTAAATTAAAATTAAAATTTAATGATTTAAAAATGTTTTTAAAGGCAAATTACTTGTGTGTCCAATCACACTTGGCCAATAAAGAATTCTATTCTATTCTATTCTATTCTATTCTATTCTATTCTATTCTATTCTATTCTATTCTATTCTATCTATCCTATTCCTATCCTATCCTATCCTATCCTATCCTATCCTATCCTATCCTATCCTATCCTATCCTATCCTATCACCTTGAAATTGAATGGAGCAATTAAGAATATACTAAAGAAATAAGAGAGCCAGTCTGGTGTAGACATCAGACATAGGCTGGAAACCAGGAGACCATAGGTTCTAATGCTGCCTTAGTATGAAGCAAACTGGGCCAGTCATTTTCTCTCAGCTCTTTCACTTCTAAAAACCCTTGCCAAGAAAGCTGCAGGGGCTAGTTAGATTTTTGATGAATGGGATTTTTTGATGTACATTAAACATGTATTACCTCAAGTGAGATCATTGATCAATTTAGCCTTGTGTTATCAACACTTAATAGGGGCCTTTCAGGATTACAAGCAAATTTTTATTCCAGATGACCAATAGCTACTAATGTGATCGAAGCTTGAGTTACTTGCATATAAAACATAGGCCAGATAGACCCTGAACAGCAAATAGTTCTTTCGACCTGGCAGTAGCTTCCCAAGCTCTGGTCCCTAGTTCACCAGCCCTATGGCCAACTTCATATGTTTCTGGTTTGTTCATTTTAACTGTCGCTTGTTTGGTCCTTGAATGTATGAACAGTCTTAACTGTGATTAGTGGAATCAAAATTATTTTAAACTATAATTTTACGAAACTGGCTTTTCTCATTTACTGTTGCTATAGAAAGCTAAATTTCAACCTACTAAACTACAGTTGGCTTTAAGAAGAAGTGGAAGCTGTCAAGTTTTCATTGCCAGTATTAGGCTCTTTCACATGATTTGGCTTTACATCTGAAACCCATAATGGCTATCAATATATATATAGGTTTGGAGAAAGAAAACTCAATCTTAATCTGCATTTATTGCATTTTATAGACTTGTCTTGAGGGTTTTTAGAGAAATTTATAAAACATGTATTTATATTATTCTAAGAGTCCTTTCCATGATTTCCGCTAATGTAGCTAATGAAATTAACCAGTAATAATTTATAACTGGTCATCTGAAGCAGTAATATTTACTTGATGCTTCTAAATATCACCAAAAAGATTTATAAGGCATGAAAGCTGGTTTGCAATTCTAGCTTGTAAAACTTGTATTTTGCTGATTTTAAAGTGACAGTATATAAATAATTAATGATTTTTAAGTTATTAATTCTACTGAGGGAAATCAAGTGGGGAAATGAAAAGTATGTAATAGCATATACTTTATTCATGACTTTTTAAAAAGGAAACCACTATTTATAAATAACTAAGAAAAACAATTTTATTTCTAGAACATTCTCCCAGTAATTTTATTGGGATATTTCAGAACTTTAATACAATGAATGTTGACAAATAATATTGAAGTTTAATTCATGAGTAGATATATTATAAATGCCATAAAAATAGGAAGGAAGAAGGAAGGAAGGAAGGAAGGAAGGAAGGAAGGAAACCAAAATAACAAATATTACAATTACGCATTTTGCATCATTTTGTGTGTTAGTTAAACACATAGCAATCAATTTGAAATTTCTTAGTTGCATATTTTTTCATTTGCAATTCTTTAGCTACTATACTTTTAAAAAAAAATAAAATGGTATTCCACAGTTGTACTGCAAAGGGTTAAATAGGTTTAAACTTGTTAATGCCTGAGTATTTAAAATATGTGATTATCTAGTGTGAATTTTGAAGGAACTTACCAAAAAAGCCATTAGGCATTATTGTGCAATATATTCTCTGTAGGTATAATTACCAAAGTGGAAGAAAAATACCTGACTACAGAACCACTTTTTTGAATGTCTTTATTCCCAAACTAACAGAACCCCTTCCCTCTTTTGTCATGATAATTTTCCAGAGTAACTCTACTTCTTGTAACTCTCCTACCATAACCTAAGAGATTAGACTTCAGTCAAAATGAACAAGCTGACATTTTCAAGGTCATTTTCTATATGTAGTGTGGGGGTACGTGATTGGATTTCAAATACACAAGAATAAATCACAGTGGGTAGAAGCAGAGGGACACCGAAACCTTGTGCTGCTTTCTGTTATTGAATGTCTTAGCAGGGGGCCTAGCTTGGGGAAAAAAATGAAATGTAGAAGTGCAGAATGGCTGACTTATTTGATTTGCTTCTTGATAACTGTCTTGTTAAAAAGTTTTCAAGCCTTAGGTTTAGAAAGATTCTCCTATAAATGACTACGTACATTGGAATCGATTGATCTGTGTGCTGGTTATAAAGTACTGAATGTTCACTTTCAGTAGACAAGACAACCCAATAAACAAGCGTGTGGTTTTACATTGCTCCATGTCCTAAATTAGTTTTAATTGTGTGTGCGATGTTTACAGCATATATTTTCTTACAACTTCATTAGATAGATAAATGGCTAATAATAAATTATAAGTATGAAATTCTAATAACTTCTTTCTAAAATATTACTTAAAACTCAGTTAAAAAAGATAGAGAATTTGTCTTAATTATAAAAATGCCCTGTTGTTAGAGGTTCAGGTTTTGTATTTTTCTGTTTTGTTTTTACCTTTCTCCAACAATTGCCTGAAAAAAATTGCCTATATATGACTTACATCTGGACAATTATGTCTCCTCTGCCCAATACTGCATACCTTTTAAACCTGTGAGGGAAGCCTGATTGCATGTATGAACAGATGTAAAGATGGTTAGACACAATTCTGGCTTGATGTAATAGGCGATGGCACTTGCATCACAAAATAATATCAGATTGTTTGAATTTTGCTTGGAATTATAGAAGATACCTAGTTTGTTACTTGATATAGATAATGTTTTGTGCAGAATTCTGGTAAATATTATCAGGCTGTCTCAAAAAATAAATACTACATGAATTAACAATATGTCTTTTCTGTTCAGAGGTTTTTGCTTACTGTGAAACATATCTTTTCCAGTTGACATGTAGTGACAAATATGTTTATGTAATTTATTTACAATTGCATTTTAATGTCTTTTCATCACACCCAAGAGGTTCATAATATTGCAATATGCATGTGTAATCTAGCATTTTAATGGATTTCCTTACTTTATCAGCCTCTTACTGATTAGACTGTTTGCTGAATTGCAACTTGGAGAAGAATATTGCAATGATAAGAAATGGACAACCTGTTCCAATAACTGAAAAACATTGTTTTGATCCAGAAAGTTGCTTTAAAAAGTACCTATGCCCAGTTGACTTTTTTTTTTTAAAGTTCCCGGTTTTTAATTGAATATATCCTGTGGTTCCTTTTTGTTTCACAGAAATTTGATTTGTTATGTTGTGGGAACTGGAACATTGTAGCGAAACTGGAATCCTGGCATTGAAATAGCAACCTTTGCTATGGTTCCTAGCCAATCTGCTTTAAAGGTCTTTTGAATGATTACAGAGCATTCAGAGCCAGAACATTAGAACACTAGAATTGAAGTCTATTTTTCACTTCTTTGAAGAAGAAGTGAAAAATAAATACAATATAATTTCAAACAAGCAAAAATTGATAACCTAAGTGTACGAAGTCATAAATAAGTTTTCAGTTAACAATGTTAGGAAGTGAAGAAACAGGGCAGTTTATTAACTAGTCAACCATTTGATAAATTATAGTAGATATTCAACACCTTGAGAAGGAACTATTAGCATATCATGTAGTACTGAAATGTTTATTTGATAGTGCAGTATATTTTAGGAACCCTTAATCTTTGATCCATTGGCCCTTTGTCTTATTTCAATGATGCCCTTAACACAAAGCATAAAAGAGTGCATATCTGTACCTACAATCATGCTATCTTAAAAACATAGAGGTATATATGATTTTTTTCTTCCTTCTTTTTGGATTTTTCCTTTTTTGAAATCACAATCTGTAGATGGAGGTAGGAGAATGAAATGCCAAATATATTGTGTGCTCCCTTTCACCCTTCCTGTGTAATATATATGATTGGGATAAGGCCAGAATAACATATTGGAAGCATTTTTATTACTGTTGTTCACTTTGCTTTCTTCCTTTCAGGAATAATTTTAGTCTTCAAAATTCAGCTTTCACTTCTCTTTCTTTTCTATTTATACTCCCAAGAGATGGACATTTGGAGTAGAAAAAAAGAGAGAATCTGAAAAATGTTGTCACAGTCATGCAGCACTAATGTCTTACATATGGCTGTTAAGTACACATGCATATGAATGGGCACAAACATGTTTTCTTAAGTGTGTATGAGAGAGAGTTAAAATATTTCACTATTTCACAAATTGTTCTGCTGGCATATGTTGGAGGTATTAAGTAAAAGATTTTTCAGCATGAAAGTTTCAGAAAATATGTTCATTTCAGACAGCCTTCTAAACCAAGATTTGGACTAAGTTTTATCCAACTTTTCTTTTAAATCCTATCCAGCATGACCAGCATTGAATGGTTGAGATTTCTGGCAGATAATATTTATCTATTTAGAGGAAAGCAGAGTGAAGTTGGCTTGAATGATCAGAAACAATTCATTAACCAGTGAATTCTTTTTCCAGCTTCCTTTCTGGAAAGAAAAGTTTTCTTAGTTCTAGTCTGTGGCCTCAGCAGAATATGATTAATATTTGCCTTCCAGATATGATTGATACAGTATTACATTAGGAATTAAGAGTGTTATTAACCTGGATTTTTGGTTTTGATTAATTTTTGTAATTAACTTCATGTTGAATCTGTGAATTATGAATTCACTTTCAATATAGTAGTACAGAGGGGACTACTATATGTAGTTATAGCGTAATATTACACTTTGTAGTAATAAGAGAACATTTTTGTTATTTTGATTTTATTTCAAATCAAAGATTTTTCAAATTACAGATTTTTCTTCCAATTTGAAAAACACGTGTCTACCACACATTGTCAATTTGATTGTCATTACTAATTATAATTAGCACTAAGTAAAAAAAAAAGTTTTTTAATATGTGTGTATCTAGCCGAACTGTCTGGTTTCTTTTTTTGGTTTCATATACAGTGATCTGCATGTATTACATTTAATATAATCAGGTAAGATATATTCCTACTTAATAATTTAAGAATAAAATTTTCTATCTCTTCTGTTTTAACAGTATGCAAGTGTTGAAAAAAATGGTGAATTTTACATGTCTCCCAATGATTTTGTCACACGATTCCTGAAGATAATAGGAGATGGGGTGCCCAATCCCAATACGATCCAACTGCTGGGAGGTGTAGTAGATCAGACTAAAGATGGGTATGTATGATATTATTTATCTAAATTACTTATTTGATACTAGTATTTGAATGTTCAGAGAACATTTTGCTTTTCATTTACAATATATGAAAAAAAAAGATAATGCGCCATCATCAAGCATTGCCTTTATGAAAGATTGATTTCTCACTGAATAATGTGCACAAAAAAAGAGAACAGGTCTTAAAATGGTTTGTAGATCTAAACAATCCTCAGATTGTATTTAATTTCTAGTGCCTGCATAAATGTGGCCAAATTGTTTTTGTGGAAACTAGATAGAAACAATTCGTTGATGGTTCCCTATGTGATGTTGTTAGCTTCTCCGTCTAATCTGCTGCCTTGGTGTTCTGCTGGTCTTCCATATAAATCAAGTTTCACCCTGCTTGGCTATTTTTGACATCTGTCAAGGGTAACGGTACTAACTGCTATAGCTTTGTACATAAATCACTGTGGCAAATATATTATAGAATTAGGAAATGCAGTATGTTGTACAGCATTTACAGTGCTATAATTTTGGTCTGTGACCTTAATAAAGACCTGACTAACAAAATAGTTTAACTGAAAGTGCCACAATTAGAAATTAAACTATGTCAATGATTGTGCTTAATAAATTGACACATATGCCTCCCAAGAGGAAAAATGAAAGTAACTGTTCAGACTTTTATATTCCTAATTAATAAATGACAGGAAAAATATGACAAAAGTACAGAAAAGTGCTATCACAATTTCATGCGTGTAGAGTCATCTAATTTTCTAATAATTCATTGTAATTCAGCATTTTATAGGGCAAGAATGTATTTGCCTGACTGGTTCTATGTTCACTGAAGCTTTGGTAAGTTTGCTTCCAGGGTGGGAGTTAGGAGACTTTGGAAAGTTGTTTTTACCTCCCATTGATAAGCTATAAAGAAATGTTTCCTTACAATTGCATTCTTAGAAATCCAACTGTTTTCTTCTAAGATTTTTTTTTACTATAATTAAATTCTGCCCAATAAAATATACAATTTCTGCCAATCATTGCTGGGATTCCAGCAAGTAACTCAAAATGCTACATGGCTTTTATTTTTAGGAAGTGTAAACAATTCAAAATAATGTTTTGAAATGCCAGCTTTTCCCATTATTATTGATTTATCTTTAATTTACCATTTTTCAGAACAGTTGTTTATATAGTACTGAAATATTAAATAATAAGCATAGCTTAGCCTGTGTCCCATTATGCTATTAAGAGTACACAGTGATTGTAGCTTGAACCATTCTAGCTTTTGATTTTTTAATGCAATGATGAGAATAATTAGCAGCAATCCTAGACATGCAGAATAATGGGTATGTGTATGCACATATAGGAAAGTAACAGAATAATTTTCAGACATGAATGCGTTGTTTTTGTTGTTGCCGTTGTACATTATATATGTTAACAGCAGTTGAGCAATTAAGATACCACTGAAATACTTAGTTATATAGAAGTAAGCCCACTGTAGTCAGTGGGACTTACTGATGGGTCTACTGACATGTAGAAGATTGTATTGCAAATGTACTTTCACTTTTAAATGTGATTGAGGATGAGACAGATATAAGAGTGACAGGCTTTGAATAATTTGCCACAAATGTACTTACCTGCTTGAGATTTCACCCCGGTGTTTTCAATTTTACACATAACAAACTGGCACTGAGAAATTCCATTATATCTCATAGTATGGTATGATATGCTATCCTGCTATTTCAAATTTCTGTGTACTTTTGCAACTGATAGCTTTTTTCAGGTGCTGAAGTTAGCAGTAATGATTTATAAATTCACCTTCCTTGTTGTAATATAGCCAGTACATATCTTGTCTATACATTTATATTAGTCTTCCTTCACTAATTTCTTTCCAAATGCACTGAGATTACGACTCCTACAATACCCATACTGTCCATTGTTGTATTGTTATAAACTGGTCATACCATGTTACAATGAGTTGACATTTAGAGTGTCAACTCATTCACAAGGTATCAGAATGGGAAAGATTGATATAAATCAGATTGAAAATGTTTAATTGTCTGGATTTTTCCTGAAGAAGTCTGAAGGAAAGCTTTAATAAGTTAACAAAAATTTCAGTAGATTTGAAAATGTAAAATTTTCATAAGAATGCAAGGACCATTTATAGGATAGAAACGGTCCTTGCATTCTGTATATTCTATGAGTCATATAAATTCTATGAGTATGTAAATTCTTAAAGTTATCTAAGAATACCAGTAGATCATTACTAGTATTTTTAGGAATAGTACTACCGATAGTACTTAAATGACAATTTAAATAGTTGAAAGATTGATGTATAAAAACTTAGTTTCTTCACCAAGTTAGGTTTTCTCCAGCTCCATATTCCTCTGATCCTCTGACCCTATTCTTAGGAAAATGCTAGTATTTTTAGATCCAAGCACAGTAGTCCTGAAATATGTACTGTATTCATAAAACTGAGTAAGGTTTTGCCTATGAGAGCTAGTGCTCTCAAAATAGTGCAGCCATAGGAATATCTTTATACCATACATACCGAGTTTCCCCCCAAATAAGACCCTGTCATATATTTTTTTGAACTCCGAAATAAGTGCTTGGCCTCATTTTCAGGGAGGTCTTATTATTTTGGGTTGCGTGGAGCAAGCTGGGGCTCCTTTTGCCATCTTACCTGATTTCCAGCTCTGCGTTTAAATATTTTCAGGGAGGGCTTATTTTCAGGGGGAGGCTTATTTTAGCACATGTGCTCAAAAGCCCAATTGGGCTTATTATCAGGGGATGTCTTATTTTTGGGAAAAGGGTAGATAGGCAGTTGGACAATCTTTTCATACTTTCTCCCTTACACTGTAACCAGCTATTCACTATAGTATAGTATAGTATAGTATACTATACTATAGTTTGTAGTAGCATCTTCTCGCTTTACTTTTGGCACGAAAAGCTGTAAAGTTTACTCTTGTCAGTGGTTCTCCTATCTATCTTGGGATCCAGATGTCTCATAATGAAAATCCATATTTGAAATTTCTGTTCTAAAACTGGGAAAAAGAAAAATATTATTTTCCAGTTTTTTAAAACCCACTTTTCTTTAAATAAAGGTCATTTCTACTGTAGATATGTAACTAAAGGATGCTCTAAAACAAAACAGAATTTTCTCAATAGTGATAGTGGAAAGGGTAGGAATAGTTATAAACTGAAAATTAGCGTGTTGATGTGGACAATAAATCTTTGGAATAGATAACAATAACTATTTCATCTATATTAGTCAATTTGTCTACCAAAAAAACCCCAGCTGGGTGCCAAATGGTTGTACTAGTTAGCTTTCCTTTCTATTTTAATTTGGATTTTTTTTCTTTTTGCTTTTGTAGAGAAATATTACCAATAAAGCATCTGACTTACAGGGAACTTTATGCTTGGTTTATAATTTGCCAATTTCTTTTTTAGCTTTGCATCATTAAAATACAGGTCATTAGGATTTTCTCAGTCAGGCTGTTAAGTTAGGTAAGCTGTAGCTTATGTCGACAAAATTATTCTTAAGTAGTATATTGAGGTTCATGTTAATATGTGCTGTTTAATGAAACCTAATGATATTCAATGAAGGTTGTGCTAAGCCACAGAGAAAGCTTGTTACCTAGGCAACTGCCCTTATGTAGTATAGAGCTCAGAACATATGGCTGTGTAACATGCATTATTTCAGCATCTTTAACCATTAGGAACCACATGTGTAATTGACTGTGAAAAATTACTACTCAGTTACTGTATTGTGTGGTCATAATAGAAGTAAATGAGTACGTCATTGTTGCTGGAGTAGATCTGTTGGGAATCACTTGCTGGCCAGTCTATTTAAGGAGCAAAAATACAATAAGAAGAAAATAGCTGGTTTAATTAACATGTAAAAATTGGGTTAATTTGAATTCAGCTGGCACACAGATATTCATGTTTCTCCTGTAGTGGTCTGGATTGAATTTTGCTGATACAGACTTTCTGCATTTTTCTGTAAAAATTGTTAATCATTTTATTTTAAAGATAGTACCATATAAATTAATAAATTTTGATCTGTACCACAGCAATTTATGTGACATGAATGTGTAGCAAGCAATGAAAGGATTGTGTGTAGTGTTCTTTGAAAACATGCTTTGTTGGGCTGTGGTATTTGTGAATTAAACTCTATTTCAACAGAACTCTTTTGTCAGTTAATGAAGTTCTAGTTTATAAGAAACCATATTATAAATCACAAAAACTGAGCATTAGCATGATAAGGAAGGGTGTTATAAGATTAAGAAAAGAGTTCTAAAATGATAGCTCAGGATTCCCTGAGGTAAATAATCTGGAGGTACAGATTTTTTTAAAAAACTGTGCAAGCAGTTTATAAAGCAGCACTATAAAAACTAACTCAGTTCCTCATTTGGCCTGTGTAAGCTACAATCATTAAGTGACAAATTTTAAGAAATTCAGAACATAAAGATTAAAATGATTGAACATGGCATGGTCTTGTCTGCCTACTCATGAAATCACCATTTTTATTTGTGAAATGGAGTCACAGAAATGATCCCTTATCATTATAGTATTGCAAAGTTTGAGAACTACTGGATTAAGGCGTTGGACTAGGACTGGAAAGATTACACTTCAAGTCCAATGTTGGCCACATAAATTCAATTGGTAACTGTCAGCCTAACTTTGCAGGGATCTTTTGAGGATTAAATGAAGGGGTGTAAATTGCCTAGGGCTCCTGAAGAAAGGCAGGCTATATGTTTAATGAGATAAATAGTCCATCCTGGTCTTCTGGAAATTCTTGAATAATGAGTTACTTTGAGGTTTATGTTAAATGATAAAATGTCCACTTTGATTGTTTTTATGATGTTACAATGACTATATTTTAATTCCTGCTATGACATTCTATTTAACTTTTTATGTTGTTTTTAATTATTCCAAAACTTTGTAGAATATACAAGTATGACAGATAAAATTGTTAATGCTTTTATTTGAAAGCACTAATGGAAACATGATAAAATACATGTTGCCA